TTACCTTAATCAGACAGCCTTTCTTCCCGAACAGTGTTATGAGAAGAGCGAAGGGTTCGTTAGGCTAGCCTAGGCTAACCTAACCAACCCTAACCGGAAGCTCAATCCTCATAACAGCTGTTTGGGAAGAAAGGTCGGCCGAATGTCGCGTCCGGTGAAGAAACGTGTCAAGTCCGTGGGTCACGTCCGGGTAAAAGAGGTCACGTCCGTTAAAAGATGTCATGTCCGGGTGAAAAGTGTCGAATCCGGTAAGAAAGTCGCATCCGGGTGAAGAAGAGGAAGTCGAAGAAGATCACCGCCTAGGCCAAGGCAACCGCAGCCGTCCGCAGCAACTAAACCACGGACAGCACGGTCCCTCGACTTCGGGGGCTCTCTCCTCCGACTCCTCCCCGTCCAGACTTCGGCAAGGCGGTGGCGTCGCCGTCGCGGACGAACGGGCAGAACACGACCAAACAGAAAGTGTCAGCTCGGACGAGCTGTCACTTTCGACATCCTCCACAGCAAGGTCTGTGGCCGGATGACCCCCGAAGACCTCGGCCAAGCGCACTGGACCCAGGGTGTAGCGTCGCATCATCCCGACTCCGGGAGGATGCCACGCCACGCGCACTTGGCGAAGGCCTTCTTCACCCGCTGCCTGTCGCTCCTCGGACGGCACGGAACGACAGACTCGTTCCGCGTCGTCCGAGGAACCCTCTCCCTCCGGCGCCACCGCCTGCCTCCGCCGGAACCGCCTCCAACAACGCACCAACGTCTTCATCCTGTAAAAAAGAAAATTTGCAATTAGTCCAGTGAAAACAAAAGCTTAAATTAATGCTTAAATTCTTCCGAGTAAAAGCAAGCCGCCTTTTTAAATCTAAAAGATTCGAATCCGACTATCGAACGATGTGCCGAGATGTCTTCTGGGACCGATTCTCCAAGTAATATTAAATCAATTCTTACGTCTAGGGTCAATATGGACTAAGACTTACCTAAAAAATCTTGAATCCTCTCCGCAAAAGTCCACAAACCGCAAAAAAAGCAACGCAATCCAAGAGCAGAACAAAAGCACGTCCGAAAGCAACAAGAAACACAATCGAACTGCGATTCGTCATGCGTGACGTATTTCGAACAAACGTTAAAAAACGCGTCAACAATGTTCGAATTTCGTAAAAAATCAATTTTTTTATTTTTTTTTAATTAATTAATTTATAATTATTTTTCTTTTTTAAATTATATTAATAATTTAATGAATTAAATAAATAAATCATCTTCTGCATTTACATGGTGCAGAATGTCGACCGTGGATCTTTTTAAATTCTACGTCTCCAGGCTTGACCATCTCCGAAATTCGTTGGAATAAATGTTTTTCGTCCATTTTCGACCATGGCATGAAATAAATGAAATTCTTAGGATTCCTCGGTCGCCGCGGGTTTCGCCTATTAATGCAACATTAATATTAAAAATAGCGAAAAACCTTTATAATACGGCCGAACGAAAATTAAGTCGGACACAGAGGATAAACAGACTGAGCTAGGGGGAAACGACCATTCTTTCTCCTTGAATTTCTGACTTTTTAAACGATCTCTCCCCTAAGTTCTTAATGTCATCGCTTAATCAATTTGACACGTCCGCAAGTGTTGATCCAACTTTGAAACTTTCGCTCGTACCTCTCGTGCCATGATATTTTATTTCCTGACTTACAACGCGACAATTTTGCTACATTTATTTCTAAATTTTGTCATTGTCTTAACCTCGAGAACGGAATTATATGAAATCCGAGACCAGATGTAGAAACTTTAAGGAGGCCCCAATTAACTATATATGATCTTCCGATTCAAACCGAAAGTCTCGTTTTTTTTCAATTCAAAACGTCAGTTAACGGAAAAGTGTGATGTACAGGGGCAAGCCACTACTAGCTTGAGATATTTTGAATTAAATGATTTCAAAATATGATTAAGAATTGCGTGTCGCAATAGACAATTGCTCGTAGTTATCGTTTGTTTGTGAAAATATTTACGATAAAAACTAAATTTTGATCTTTGTCGTGTTATGAAGCAGAATATCCAAGTAAAAATCTTTCTGAGAGGTAAAAAGGAGTTAATAATTGCGAGGAAAGGCATTTTCCCATCAAAAATAAAGAAAGAAAACATGCAAGAGACTGATATGTAGAAACTACACCATTAAGATGTGTACAAATTGTGCACTATATCCATCATTGTGGATAACAAAAGTAGTCTATATTAAGACGAACTAACCTTCTGTTTGTTATGTTGGAGACACTGAAGCCGTGAGCGCGAATAGCGACCAATCCGAAATAAAGAGAACTGTTTTAATCTCGGTCTCTGTTAATTATGCATAATTAAGAAAGACGTGATAGATATCACTAGTCTGACAATTGCAAGAAGCAACTTTTTATACGCTTTCCAAGCCTGACGAAATAGAGTCTGTCTCCTTGAAGTTAACTACGAAGGCTTTGAAGTTGTTTCTGCCGAAGCACTATTTTTTCTCGATTTCTAAGGAGTGAGGAAATTGTAGGGTTCCTCTAAAAGCCTACAATTTCCTCACTCCTTACAATCCTGTGTTTACTACATCGGGCTATCTCCTTATAGATAGAACAGAGGGTCTTGTGTTGTGTTATGATAGAACATTCGGAAAGGATAGATATCTACAAACTGTTCGGCATGAAAATAGGCAGTCCACTTATATGTTACTGTAGGCCTATTATCGTACGATTTAGAGGAAAAATTGCCGTCAACTTTGATGTAACGAAACTGACATCATTTAACAATTAAAATGCAAATACACAGTAAGTTACATAGGTGTACAGTGGGCTTTTGCATGAAATATCTCGCCTTCCGATTCAGTTATTTAAAATCACGTAAATGATAAGAATTACTTAATGTGATCATTTCTGCAAGGAACATAAAAAATGTACAGATAAACTTAAAATTTGTAGATTAACTAGTCACGGGAATTAGATGGTGCCACATGTCCTTAAATTTATATCTGTACATTTGGAAAATGAAAATTTGATGGTAGCACTCTTGGTTATATTTGCGGTACCACTGTTTACAGAAGCAATATGCAAATAAAAAAGAAAATAATAAAATGTTTGACTGAGAATGTATAAAACTAGTATATGCCTACTTTGTATAGTTAAAAATATAGTTTTTTCAATAAAACAAGGAAAACCAAAGCAATGTTAATTGCAGTACATTCCAACGGCCTTTAATTGTGGAAATGTGCTTGAAGAATACCACAATTGTCTCATATTATGTGTTAAATTGGGAAAAGTATTAATTGTTTCATTTTTTTATAACCTATAAATTCCCACTGTCGTCCGTCTTTAGAAAAGAGTTAGGCAGATGAAATCCGAGACAAGATATGGGAACCTTAAGGGCAGGAGGCCCGATTAACTATATAACAACTTCCGAAAGTCACTTTACGTCAATTCAAAACTTTTTTGCTGAATGATGTTAGACAAACGACTCTATTATGAAAGGAAAAGTTTGATGTACAGGGGCAAACCACTACTAATTTAAGGTGAAGAGCGTATATTTTGAATTAAATTAATTAAAAATGTGATTAAAAATTGCAGCCCTGCATTGTGACGATGTCACAATAAATAATTGCTCGTTTTGTAGCTATAAATTATCATCATTATGATCCATCCTACTTACAGCAAAATTCATCCGTAGTTTCTTCATACGAAATATGAATTAATACAAAAATAATTACAGTTATAAGCAGCAGAAACTTCATGCTCGGAGTTAATTAAACCAATTTATCATTAAAAGGAAACGTGATAACAGGAGAAAGGTTTTATGAAAAGCGACCTTTACAAAATTATTCTTAATTTAAAATATCAGCGCTAGAAATATATAGTGGTGCCTCAGTGCATGAACTACTCCCAACTCGAATAATTCGATATTCGAATGCACGTTAAAAAAATACAATGCTCGATAATTGACTGCATGCTCGGCACTCGACTGAAAAATACGACCTGCTTAAACAAATATTTTTATTTTAACTTTAATTTTGTTATCCGTAAAACTTTCCCGCGATAAAAATAAGTATCTAATTTAAAAATAAAATAAAAGCCTAGAGTTGAATATCTTCGTTAGACAAAATTATTCCTAAATTTAATAGTCGTATTTTGCCATTCTGTACGGTTATTCCCAACGACATATGACTACCAGATTCCGAACCGGGCCGCCATCTTTGAAGCGAATTGAACGCGCTTCCGCCATGACACTTAAAAGGCATAAACCTGCTGGATATACATAATACAGATATGACCGTTTATTACATATATATACAATTGTTATCACACGATGCTTTTGCTAAACTCTGGCTTTAACTCAAACTGTCTTAGTCCTAAAACACCAGTTCTAACAAACAGTGCTAACACAGAAAACCACAGCTGTGCCCTAGCGCCTACGTCCTAACGTGAAAATCTGTTTTTCTCTGGATTGTCGAAATACCGATACTTTTTTTGATATGTGGAGCAACGCTATTAAGAATCACAAACCTTTCCTTTTTCGTTTTAGAAAGTTAGCCAAACTAAGAGCACAGTTTACATTTTTTTTTTTTTTTAAATATTCTTGGTTTGTTTTTAAATGCTCTACCAATTTACTAAAAAGCTCTTAAGTCAGTTCGAATGGATTATTTACTATTTGAAGAATAGTTTTCAATTAAACTCATTCCAAAATTTGGCGTATTTGAAATTAGTCTACCGCTAATCGATAGGAGGATGGCCGACCGGTCAAGGTGGCCAAAAAATATTAAAATTAACGAGGAAAAAACCTAATATACTTTATAAATTCATTTGCACATTATTATTTATTTTATTCTCTAATCCGGTGTAAATAAAGTAATAACATAATCTATAGCTCGTGTTTTCATATTTTGACAAATAATTTGCCAGTTTAAATTGGATTGTAATTATATATTATTAACGCAAAGTAAAAAATATTTTATTAAATATTACTTATACATAAAAGATACTGGCATTAAATACATTGCATAAATTAAATTTATTATTTGGTTTGTAGCGCCATCTGTTAATGCCCGTTTTTGTTGCGAGATTGTCGTCTATTTAGACAATCTTAAATGACGGAGATGGGAAGATTATAAGTTTTATTCGAATGTTTATAAAGTAAGTTAATGATCTCGTTTCAAACTGCATTGTTTAATATAATATATACATTTCCATTTCCGAGTGTTACAACATTTATATTTCCGAATTTTACCGAATCGGAAAGCGGGTCAATTTAGAAACGTGCTTCTTCCTACGGTGGAAAATAATATAATGCAATATATTTGAAATAAATTATCAAAAAGTTTCTCTTGGTTATATATATATATATATATAAATACTTGGCATATTTGATAGGATAAATGTGCTTAATGTCAGCCATTGCCAAAAGCAGCCATCTTCCATAAAATGTGTATGTAATAAATGTAGGAGGTAGTTTTAATGTTATATGATATTTCTCCCTTATTCAGTCAGTTGTTTTGTTAATGACATAATTAATAGTAATTGTTGTCAGTTAATGTATTGCTTGTACTCATTTCATTTAATACAGTCAAAGGGGTATCAAATCTAAGGCTTGAATTAATAAATTGGATTTCTATCTGGTAATGTTATCATATTTATATTTTTCTTTATTCATTTCATTCACTTGAGAATTTGAATAAGGAAAAACTTGTAAATCTTATATAGAAATATAATAAGCTGTTGTTTTATAGCAGCTGAATTGTTATTGCATTTAATGAAAAATCTGTTGTACTGGGTGATTTCTGGAATATAAACAAAATCATAAAATTCAATATTTGATCATCTATAATGAAAGAGAGTAGTAATAAATATTCTAATTAATAGGTTCCAGATTTCGTATGCTGAATTTTTATTTTTAATAAAGTCTGAAAGTGAGTAGAAATTTATTGAAATTGTTATAATTCACTGTTGTTTTGCGAGAGATCTAAGTTATTAATGTAGAATTATTTTAATATTAGATACTTTATTGTAGCTTGAAATGAGTAGGAAAAAATTTTATTTGTTACGTCTATTTAGAATGATTATACTGAATAAAGCAGTAGGTTAAATATGTTATGAATTGCATCTCAACTTAATTAATAACTTGAGAATTGTGTGCTGTAGATAGGAAAGTTTTGTTTGTTTAGGTAAGGCCTAAACAAATGAGAAGTGTAATGGTATATATAAGCATAAGAAATTACCAACGATGGTTATTTCTTATACTTATATATTCTGGAAGAGGAGATTGAACCGGAAGTCTGGGTAGCGTAACTGGCAACACGTTTGCACAATAAGCGAGAGTTACAGGTTCAAGTCCCACTTCGGGCCAATTCTTTTCTTCCAGTTTAATCTAAATTATTTAATTAAACAGTATAATTATTAATTTTAATACAAGATGGCACCTAATGCCTCTCTTGTGTCAAATTCATTTGTAATTCTTGATTAATATTTCCAAATTACAGCCCGATTATCTACGGCAGTTGTGGGACAAATAATCAAGTATAAAATATTTAGGTAGGGCCATTCATTAAGTGTACAGTTTAAGGTGTGAGGGAGTTGCAAAAATATATCAATAGAGGGGAGAGGATTGAGAGATTCTGAGGGATTATCTATGTTGACTTTCTTGGTGATGTTAGAGGCATATAAATTTGTTTTTTGTAAGCTTAATTATTAGTTGTTATGTAAACATTTTGACAGTTTATTCATACATTTTGATTGCACTTGGTCAATACCAACTTTTCCTATTTTATGGGAGCTATGGTGATGGAATGGGATGGGATAGTTATATGGTAATTTTGCTGATAAATTTGTGGATAATTGGAAAAATAGAGGAGGATCAGAGGTGGTGATCTGTGGATTTAATGGTCTGTCTCACATATTTTTACTTCAATGAAAACTTTTTTAGAGTCTTGGGATTTTTCTGAAATAGTGATTGCTTTCATCAAAAAAGGAAAGCCTTTAATTAAATAGTCAGGTTTATGAAATAGTATGCAATGTGCATATATATATATGAATGAACAACAAAATCATTTTTTGTTTCTTACTGATATATTGATGATTAGAATAGAGAACTAATGTTAAAATTTAGATATTTTCAAATTTTGTGTGCAATTTAATATTTTATGTAATTTTTGCATCGATTAAAAACAGCCCAGTCTATAACTCAAGAGTTTAAATAATGATAAAATTTTTTCTTAAGTTTTTATAATCATGTTTAAATATGTTGCTAAATTATTAAACAATTACATGACTAAATTGACTTTGTGTTTCATCACAAATTACACAATCCTTTTTGCAAGATAAAGATGGCCTATACTTTCCAGTTAAATTTTCACCAGACTTCTTGAATTTCCTGACTATTACTTTTGGAGGAAAATTTTCTTTTAAAATTGTAACATCTTGAACTGCAGTTTTGACCTGCAATATTTCATCATTACTCTTTTCTCATCTTCCTTCTTTATGCCTGATCTAGTATTCAGGATAAATTATTCCTTTGCTTATTAAGCAACAGTTTATTCACCTCAAGTAAAAAATTGTCTCTAAGTGAAAATTTTTTTGGTTTGTCACTGGTGAATGTGAAATGCAATTGAATTTTGCAAAGACAAAAATTTGTTGTATTCTTCAGTAATCTTACTAGTGTTTGAGAGAGAAAGAGCTAGGTTTGAGGACTTTAGCCCAAGTTGTCAATTTGGTTTCCAGTTGCAGATGACAGTTTAATTTTGCTGTTAGTTATGACAGTCTTTTTAATATTGAAATAATACTATCCTTGTAACTCTGAAAAGGGCTGTTTTTAATGATAACATAGAGATGTAGAGAAAAACTGCATGAAGAATTTTAAATTTGGACTTTTTAGTTTTGAATTGGAATGACACTTCTTCCCAGTCTAAAACTGTCATTAGCAGGATCTTAATTAGAGGAACTGTCGTCATCCACGTTGATACGTATTCTTTCTGACGACTTCCAATATCCAATCCATGATGCCATCTGTTTTCCAAAATTTTTGAATTAATATTTTCATTGTGCTTTACACAATTTCATCAATTTTGTGGCATGACTTGTGAAATAGCTTGTTGCAATAAACCTTTGATACCTTGTTCCATAAAAGTTGTAATAAACTCAATAGTGGAGTTTTTTACAGAAACATTCCATTTAGCTTATTCCACCGAAAACCTAGCTTTTGCAAGACCTGTCAAAGGGAACTTTCTTGACCATGAAAATTAATTTTTTTCAAATAAAAACTCTCTAACCTTAATTCTCCTAGTAGACCGATGAAAGTTCAGAAAAAAACAAATGTTTTTGGTCTAAGACCTGCTTTGGGTTACAATTTTCCAGAAATTAATTTTTTCTCAAAGTGCTTGCAAAAACATTGGCAAAACCTTTTGTGCATAATTTTGTGAACTGTTGTCAGTTGAGTCCACATAGTCAACACCCCAAGGGGAAGTGGAAATGTGTTGAGTTATCTGACATGATGACTAAAGCGAAGTTGAAAAAAACCACAAAACTACAATTAAAAAAATAGAGTAATGCAATGTACAGTACCTCTCTGACTATCCATCACTGACACTAAAGTTGGTTTCTACTCCAAATACCCCAACAGTTTCTATCGCCTTTTGTTTCAGTAGCAGTCCCAAAACAGAAAGATTTGATGAATGAATTTGCTTTAGCCAACATACCAGAGCATCTTTGACATCTTTGTACAGTAACTCTCTCTGGCATTTTCAAGACATCCACAATGAAAATCCAAGAAAAAGTTTCATAATTTCCTTTTTTTTTTTTCTTCAGGATTCCCACTGTTGTTGTTCTTGGAAGGTTTTTTGTTTTGCAAATTTGGCTTGTGAAGTTTTCTTACATTCAAATTCAGACACAAGTTTGTATTTTTCCTTCAGCATAAGCGTTGTTAGCTTTCAGACACTCAATTCTAACAGAAATGTGAAACACATGCTACAAATAACGCATAACATGAGAAGATGCAAAATCGGATTCTGCTGTGACATTGATATAGATTGTATATTTTCTTTTTGTTTATCTGTTATTATTTTATATATAAAAATACATAAAATGTTAAAGCCTCTTTATTAGTATGTATATATTAATAAATAAGTTGACTCCACTCCTGAAAAAAATGAGTTNATAAAATTTGTCAAAGATTTAAATTTCTAAGTTTATCTTTGAGCAAATTAAGTCTAAATATAAAAGGTTCAAATACAGTGGAAACTTGAGACCAAGGGTTTCGGATATACAAAATTTTAGATACAGTAGTACAGTAGAACCTCGAAAACTCGGCCTAATGGCTGTGACATTGATATAGATTGTATATTTTCTTTTTGTTTATCTGTTATTATTTTATATATAAAAATACATAAAATGTTAAGACATTTTTATTATGTATATATTAATAAATAAGTCGACTCCCCTCCTGAAAAAAATGAGTTCACACCACACAGTAAACTGTGAACTCATTTTTTTTTCTTTTTTCAGGAGGGGAGTCGACTTATCAGACGTCTAAACAAGTGTGGGACAACAAAAGTATGTTATTCAGTGGTGACAAGTTAAATGGCATCGAGTAAACCAGAGTTTTTTAACATTAATGCCTATGTGAGTCAGTTGGGACCACAAAAAACTGACTACTTAACCAACAGTGTCTAGTTATACCTATGACGACTTATGCAGACTCTACTGTATCTTTATTATTGATGTATTCCTATTACTAGGGCTACCATATGTCCATACTTTAAAGGCTCTGTCTGTGTCCATGCCATACTAAAAATAAACAAGATGTCCCCATACTTTTCAACTACAGTTAACAGTTAAATCATAACCACTTAGATTTAAATCTGATAAAAGATGCTAAATTTTTTATGATTATTATTGCATTTATTGCCCACATGACAACATTGTATAAGCAAATGTAATGATTCTGTTGCTTAGAGAATGTGTGCCCATTCATAACGGTTTTTTTTAAATTTGATAATACTTGTTGTCTAAGTGGTAAAATAGTTTTCTTATATTTAAACTTGTATTCTATGCTCTAAAGGAAAGTGTAAATTGAAACTTTATTCATATTTTTCAATTTAGTAAATTAAACATAATCTAAATTCCTTTTACAGTAGAGTTTTACA